TTTAAATACGTTGGTGGCATATAAGATGTTAAAGCTTTAACATCTTATAGTATTGTAGCTTTAGTGTCAAAGTATAGTATTATTGAACTCAATACATTGTTATTGTATGGAGGGGGCGCGATGAAAATGATCACTGAATAGTGGGTCACGAATATCGAAAGTTTGAGAAGCACTGCCGTATTTACTTGGAGCAGAACTTTAATTAATTTTTTTATATTATTATTTTTTTTATATATTTTACTTTATCAGCAGAAATTTTTTCAGAAAATAGGGAAGTGACTAAGAGATGAGTGGTCTCAAGGGGAAGGGGAGGAGGGGGACATTTTCCGTATTTTTCTTCAGATTGGGAGGTGTTACTGAAGATCTTGATAAGAATGCAATTGGCTGTTTTTCTCTTAGCAAACCTGTTAACATCTTTGGTCCCATCGTTATTGGCCATGTCTTCCCATAATTTCAGATGACGTCATTTCTAGGACTACTAAATATAGTTGAAAAACTTCACGGGGATTATATACCAAATTTTTTTTTCTGAAATTTTATTTTCAATTTTAATATTTTTAATCATTGCTTGTTTCGGTGTTTTCAGAGGCGTTTTTAAAGCATTTTCTCACTTTTAATAACGTAAAAAATTTTCTTTCGAAATAAGGAAAAAAAATGTTTCTAAATTCTGTTATTTGTAACTTGTGCTCAAATCGTTTTCAGACCACGTCAGATTTAAGAAATCATTTAACGGCTGCCCATGGTGTTAACGATCCTAATGGTTTTATTTGCGTATACTTCGAAAAATCCTTTACAAAAAGTTTAATATGCAACGACATATGAAACTGATACATAAAGTTGATGTAAAGGCAAAAAGTAAGTGACTATAATCCAAAACTTTCTTTTGATAAAAGTATACATTGAGGCATACAATAGACAAGAATTAATTTTTTTCTTTAATTTTGTTAAAATATATGTTATCAGTTCATTTCACATTCAAGATTTGCTAGTTTTTTTTTTTTTTTATCGAGATAAATTTATTCTTAAGTAAACATTATTTTCTTTTATGTTTTTATGTTGTTGAAGGTTATAAAATCTTTTATATATATTTATGTTTGATATTTTTAGTGATTCAAAAACTTCTCCACCATATTTAAATGCTGTTTTCTGTGTTGGTTTTGGAAAACATTTTCCACAAAGTAAATTAAATACTGTGTTAATTTTGATTTTTACAATTAATTAGCCAAATATTTAATTCAACTAATACTATATTAGGATTATGTTTTGCATTTTGAAAAAACGTGGTTTTATTGTTAACATTTTAGACTTACTAGATTAGAATAGATAAGAATTATAGAACACATTGATAAACTAGATTCATTAAAGCTGAACCACCGATGTAACGTTAGATATTATAGATGGAATAATGCTTTTTTTCTCATTGAGAATGTTTTTATTTTACAGTTGATTTAACCGAAGTGGAGTCGAATGCAGAATGAGGGAACACACAGCAATGACCCAATTGAAGCCAGTGAGTGTCTGTATTAATATAACTTTAAAAGTATTTCATTTGAATTCCTCTTTCAGTAAAACGCCCTTAAATTGTGTCAGTGTTCACATGAAAACGATTGAAATAGAAAAGATGGAATTATGTTTTTTTTTTCTCATTGAGAATGACTTTTATTTTACAGTTGATTTGACCGAAGTGGAGTCGAATGCAGAATAGAGGGAACAGCAATGACCCAATCGAAGCCAGTAAGTGTCTGTCTTGATATGTACTTTTTGTTGACACTTTTTCAGTTAACATTACGCTTGATTCCCAATGCATTATTAGTGAAAGATATTTTAAAATTTGTTGAGTAAAGTTTGCGTGTTATTGAAAATAAAACAAAAAAAATTGGACTATTCGCGATAAAGGGATTTCAAAGTATTTTAATAAGCTTAAATTAGCTATTAGAAGGTAATATTTTAATTTCATTTTTAACAAGAAACCTCTGAAAAATTTGAAATTAAGAACTGCATTGTTTTTCAATATTTCTTACAGGAAAAATATCAATTGCATTTTGAAGAAATAATATTTTGAATTATTAGATCAGCGCGAGGGAATGTTTAATTATTAATTTAGCTTTTAATATTTTAGGTACCAGCTATGGAAACGGTTATTCATGTTTAGAAGAAGGATGTACGTATTTTTAAAAAAAAAAACCGGCATGAATTGAGGCTTCATTTGAAATGCATGATTTTTGAATTCCTGTTCGAACACAAAGGAATTTAGTAACTTTTCCAATTTGAAATGTGGAAAAAAATTTCGAAAAGAGGAACAAGTTCATTTGTAAAACATTTCGGAGGCAGGAAAGATTCGATCGGGAAAAGTGATTTATTTTAATTGCTTCAGAAGTGGGAAGCACTGTTCCAAATCAAAGGGTATTAGAAATGTTTATAAAAACATAAAAAACTAATAATCTATGCACAGCGGAAATGAAATTAACTTTAAGAGAAACTGGTGTAGTAACTTTAAAAATGTGCTCTACACATTATGGACACGGCGATTGTTTGCCTTTTAGAAACTAATAGGTGAAGAAAAAAAACAACGCATCGCATTTTCTTTAGAAAAAAATTGAGGTTTCTGTAATTCTAGAAAACATCAGGAATGACATGTTGTCTAGAGAAAATATATCCAGAATTCATCTCAAGATATAAAGAATATAAAAGAAGTTTTGGCCTGACAAATCAACGACATGCTAATGATGCCACAAGTGTCAGGCTAATGCTGGAGGAAATGGCAGAGTTTGGCACAGATAATCCCATTTTTAGGATGTAAATTTCAAGGACGCCTATCATCTGAATATGAAGGGTTAAATAATGAAGATTTCTTTCTAGCTTTACAGCATCCTCAAAAAGAAATGTTGAAAAAGTTCGGAGAAGAAATCGTTTGTGTTGATTCTCCTACACATGGAACCAACAGTTACAATTTTAAATTAATAACTGTGCTAGTGGTGGATGATTTTGGTGAAGGTTTTCCTGTAGCTTGGTGCATATCAAACCGGGAAGACTTTGCAGCCTTAAGAAATTTTTTTTTTTTTTCTATCAATTAAAAATAACACAGAAACCAGCATCACCTCCAATTTCTTTACGAGCGATGATGCACCTGCATTCTATAATGCTTGGTTCGATGTTTTTGATTTCCCCGTTCAAAAAATATTGTGTTATTTCATTTTGATAAATCAATCAGGAGTAAAACCGAAGCATTGATTAAGAACACACTGAAAGCATGTGAAGTGTATAAGGCTATTACAATATTATTTTCTGAAACAAACGAGCAAATATTCAGGAAAATGTTCGTAAAGTTCTTAAACAATTTAAAAGAAGATACAGATACAGACAAATTTTATCACTATTTTTTAAATAACTATAATAACAGAGAAAAGGAAATTGCCATTTGTTTCAGACATGGTTGCAAAATCGAACCAATAACCATTTGGAGTCCTTCCACAAGGATTTTAAATACAATTATCTTTTTGGCAAAGTTAATAAACGTTTGGACTTTTGCATTTACAAGCTTATAGAATTTGTCAAGGACAAATGTTGTAGCGCACCATTAAGTTAGAACGTGAGAAGATAACTTCAAAAAAAAAAAATCAATTGAATTGAGGCATACAAAAAGTTTAAATCTAGACGCTTCCTTAATTCAAAAGAATCAACAACTCTTTTATTGTAAAAGAGAGCACATCAGATCATAATATAGAAATTGCTGAATCCAAATGGGCAGTCAAATGCCATTTGAGATGCAGTAAATGCTCAGTATGCATTCACTAAATAAAATGCTCTTGCCTGGATAGTGTACTAAACGGCCTTACATGCAAGCATGCACATTTAGTTTGCCGCACGCAAAACGCTTAACGAAAATCAATGATAACTCAGCTAGCGTTTCGGAAGAAATTGCTATCGTTCATAAAATATTTTTAAATCCTAGGATTACAGAAACTTCAAAGACAGATTTATCGCAATCTACTTTTAAACTGCTTGACGAAATTAAAAGTCAATTTTTTTTTCAACCTAGATCCAATAAAACACAAAGAAAAAATGTTGGAAGCAAATAAAATGCTGAAAAATATTAGCAATTTTTTGCAAATAGAATATTCTGAAATGGTTTTACCCCTCCAAACTCAGGAAACAACAAAAATGTAACACGGCAACGCTTTTTTTTTCTACTAGGAAAGAAAGAAAAATTTCTTCACGCCTTTCAAAACCCTCATTTGAGGAAAGTAATAACATTCGAAAATCTTTAATAGATGATGATGTAACCATTCCAGAGTCTGATCATCAGGCTTATTGCTTACAATCAAGGTAACTGAAGAATTAAAAGATTCAAACGTAAAACCAGCTAAAAAGAGGAGATTAGAAAATCATAAATATTTTATTCTAAGCACCCAACAACAAAATGTTTTAAAATATATTTTAAATAAAAATGTTTCAGATTCTACTTTCAAAAATAAAGGTCTTTTTAGTATACAGGATTTAAAACCTGATAATGAAATTACGGATTCTATTATAAATCATGATTTGACATCTGTACAAGAATTATTTACTACACAAGCTTGGGAAGAAGTAGAAAAATAATTACATTTTGAAACAAAACTTTTAGCGTTGCAATCATTGTGAAAGTGCAACGACTTTAAAAAAATATGGCTCAGTGTGATGATTGCAGTTACTGGTACCATTGGAAATGCGTAAATTTTAAGAATGAGTCAAAAATGAAAAATTGGCTTTGTCCAGATTGTTCTATAAAGTAAAAGATTACGATGAAGTGGATTATTGCTCCTGGCGATACCTCTATAAAAAAAACCCATCGAGATTCCTACCTCATGGTGATGTGGAAACAGGATCCATATCATAAATATTTTTAATATGCATTGCATAATTCCCACATGTAATTAATTATTTTTAGAGAGCATTCATTACTTAAATTTAAATTATTCCGATAAAATAGTACTGTAAAAAAACATTCTCAGAAATTAGGCCATCCCAGGAGGGATTCGAACCCACGACCTTTGGATTACAAGTCCAATGGGCTATTAATTGCTCAACAGGGACACAACGAACGATTTTTTCTTTCTATGTATGCTGTTGGACTATTATTTTTGTTACTTTTTATTCATTTTTTAAATTTAATTAATGAATTAATATTTAAAAAAACGGTATAAACATCAAGTGTCATCCACTGCTAGTTTAGAAAGATGTATTTGAACTTGAATGGATGAATAGAAAGTATTTTATTAGCGATCGAAAAACAGTGAACTAGTAGTAGGAAAAAAAAATAAGAAATAAACAACATAAAATATAAGCATTCCTTCAATATAGTTAAATAAAAAATTAAGATTTTAATGAGAATTTCGTCCTTGTAAAGCTATAATTAATGACGCAAAATCAGGAGTATAGTTTGTGATTTTCAATTTAACACATGATTCGAATGTTGAGTTGTTACGTGGAGATTCAGATTTTATATCAAAATTTTTTTTTATCCAAAAACACCAATTTTTTAAAAATTTAAATGGATAAGCTGGTTAAAGAAATGTATTGAACAAAATACTCAAAGACTACTACATTTTTTGAAAAACTTTTTTTTTTTTTTTCAATTATTGAATAATTTGGTAGAGAGTTTTCTCAACCGGAGAAGAAACTAAATGTGATTATAGATTCCAAAAATAAAAGAATATTCAATTTTTATCATCTAGTTATCAGCCGTCATGTAGAAGTACTGATGCACGTTAAATCTATTGAGGCTCAAACGTCTTCTCATTGGTGTGGTGTGGAAGTTAAGACAGGGGTGCTAGCTCAGGTGTCGTCCTCGTCACTTGATCATGGTTCAAAATTACGAGGTTCGTCGCCAAAAGTCCTCGTGTAGCTGAACAGAGCGACATTAATTGTCACTCTCTCTCTCTCGAGTTATTGAGATTTTCATCGATTTGCAATTCTATAAACGATTTTAGAATATCTCTATGTAAAGCTGTTAATTTATTATATAATCATGGTATTTGTTTGCATTATAATCATTTGCTCATACTAAAAGGGGAAAAAATGTTTATTCCTTAATATGTGTTCGTTGTACATTAAATTCTATACCTTCAAAAGCTTTTTCTAATTTTATCATTTATATTTTGTAATCAAATATTATTCCTTAACTCAGTGGCGCAACAGCCCATGAGGGCCAAGACCTGCTGTGCCCATCTCAGTATAAGTGACCTTGGGCTGAGTTGCGTGATCAGATGCTTCGGTCATGTGGTCAATATGACGCGAAACTCCCAGTGTTAAGTTCCCAAGCAAGCAGGGCACTCATTTATCATCCCACTGAAAGGATGAAAGGATGAGTCTACCATTCCCAGCCCGAGGTTTGAAAGCTTTGACAAAAAAATTATTTAAATACAATATTTCGGCAAAAAATGAACATAGAATGACCCATTTTCAAAATATTCTCCTTTTTTGAAAAATGCTTCTATTATAGTAATATTTTGCCTGTATAAAAACTCAAACCTCTGTACAGAGGCTCAACTAGAATTTTTGAAATTTATAACTTAGAAGTGGGTTTATCCATGTTTTACAACAACCGAGGGGAGAAATTTTCAGATAAAAACGCCGATAATTATTTTAATGGGTTGTAACTCTGAAAGTAATGTGAATTTTTCAAAAATCAGATTCAAGCCTCAGTAGAGAGGTCTGAGCTATATACAGGCAAAATATTATTCTAATAGAAGCATTTTTCTAAAAAAGGAGAACATTTTGAAAAAATGGTTATTCTAAGTTAATTTTTTGCCGAAATATTGTAATTAAATAATTTTGTTGTCAAAATGTCCTTAAAACAATTTGATACATTTATTCTAATCTAAGTGACACTAAATATCAAGAAAATTATCCATTTATGCACTTTTTAAAATCACTGTTCGAACGTAGTCGGATACCTTAATTCTCCATACAAACTCACCCGCCCCTCCAAAAAAATTTATTATTACAGTCAGTGGCGCACACAAGGGGGCTTGATTTTTCTCCGATTGACTATAATTCTAAGTATATAGTACGAAAATTTAATTAATTACTTGCTATTAATTAATTAATGATTAATTAATTAATGATTAATGATAATTAAATGATTAATTTTATTAATTAATGCTAATTATTTATTTAAAAACGAGTTTTTTACTGTGTTTTGTTCCCGAAAATCGACAAAATCAAAAGGAGCATGATACAAGAATGGTTAACTTTCGACCCCGAACCCCTCCCCCTCGAAAAATTCCTGTGTGCACCACTGACTACAGTTAATAATAAAAATTTGTTGTTTATTGAAAACTTAAATAGTTTTTCAATGTACATGCCATGATCATACTATAATATCAAATATTTTTCCTCGGTTCCTTATGTATGTAAAAATAAGCTAATTTTTAAAAAATAGCGGTTAAAAACCCATTCACGTTTGAGCAAATGAATTCCATCGATTAAAAAATGAAAAGGAGGTATATTAGCTGATTTAAATGTAATCATAAACAAGTATTACAGACATGAAAAATTAAAAACAATATTACTTTAGAATATCACTATTTAGGATTGATATCTATGAAGTTTAAAAAGAAATGTAAATTTTTCTAAGTTAATTCGTAAGAAAATAAAGATAAACTAAATTGCCTTTAAGGTTGATTAGCATTATAGTTATTTTTCGGATGTTAGGAAATAAAAAGTTTGGCCTATACAGTCTAAAGCATAGGTTCCCAAAGTTTTTTGTCTCATAGACCCCTTGTCATGTTTTTCTGTTATGGGTAGACCCCTGCTCACCTAATATTGAATTTTTGCAAATTTACCAATTTAAATGTCTTTTTGACTGCTGGTATAGAGCTACTTACTTTAAACGATTTATATTTCTAACTGAAGTGAGGTATGGTGTTTAAAACTGAAGAAAAGTATGTTAATCAAATTAAAATTTAATTATTACATAAAATAAATGAGAAACAAATAAATGCTTTTAAAGGGAGGAATAAATCTAGTGCTTCAATAAAGAATTTTAAACATTTGGTATCAATCGTGCCATGTTTAACCCTATATTTCCTCGGTTAGTAGTCCCCCTCTTTTTTTTTTTTTTTTTTTTGTTTTGGAGATTGGTAACCACGCTGAAACTCCTTCTCACTAGGAAAAGTAATTAAAAATTTTCTCAAGGTATTCCATAATTTGTGATAAATACCGGGTATGTCTTGTAGCCAAAATTGCAGACATATGGTCCTTGTTTTAATAAAGTTTATGCTGTCACCTTGTAACTGCAAATTAAACTCATTATAATTAGTCAATAAATCTGTTAAATAGATAAAATCACAGGTTTTCCCTTGACTAAATTTTCTGTTAAAATTAAAATCGTGATTTGGTTTAACGAGAGCCACCATTTACACCTCATGGACCCCCAAATCATTTTTCCGCTGACGTGGACCCCTTGCATGTCGTCATAGACCCCTGGGGGTCGATATAGACCTCTTTGAGAATCACTGGTCTAAAGGAAATGGGAGCAGTCGGAACGTCCTCAAGAATGCGTTGGTCGTCTTTTGTTGTGTCCCTTCCCCTAGAAGCAAAGTGAAGTAGATGTCTATCTTTTTTATGGCCCCTAAATTTCTACGAAAGATCAGAGGGAGGGAAGTCTTTGTTGTTTTCCGATGCCACCTGTCTGACGTAGTCAGATCGAGGCCCACGAAATTCATCATGGCATAGGCAAGAGGTACGCCTGTCGTTGGCCTTGAGCACCATACAGGTGACAGTGCGATTTTAGCTCGGCGAAATTCCCCGAAGGGACGATTGATGGCGACACGACCTCTATCTCCCCCTCCACAATTTCTGCATGTAAACTGAAGGGGACTGAAATATTCTCCAGTCCCTGCGCTCGTGATTAAGCCCACAAGACTACGGACCCACTGATTTAACGAGCACGTACTCCGTGTGTACTCGGAGGGTGTTTGGTGGCATCGGGCATCGAACCCAGGCCTTCCGGTCTGGAGTCCGATGCTCTAACCACTAGGCTACCCACGGCCTTGTCACACAGGCTACAGAGAAAGTCAAGGCTATAAAGAAAGATTTGTTTTTACTTTTTTTCTTATAAAGTTTGAACTGATCAAGTTTTCCGATGAGAATTTATTTCATTATGAGTCAACACCCTGATATACCCCTTATAATTATTACTAATTAAATGGGGATCCAGGTTTATCGTAGTCATGCTATATCAAATACATTCTCTATACCATAGTTTCCCAAACTTTTTGTCTCATATAGACCCTTATCATGTTTTCTGGTTTGAGGTAGACCCCTGCTTACTTAATTTTGAACTTTTCAAATTCACCATAGAAAACTCATGTGAATTTTAAACGTGTATTAATTAAATTAAAATCGCAATTAATTAAAAAACCCGCAATTATTCAAATAAAAATCCCATTTAATTAAATAAAAATCACAATTAAGTTAAAATTATAATTAATAAATTTAATTTAAATCAAATAATTAAACTAAAATTTAACATTAAATTTTTTTTACAAAAATAACTCAGCATAAAATAAATGCTTTTAATGCGAGGGATGAATCTTATGCTGTAATAACAATTTTTTGAACATTTGGCATCAATTTAGTCAGATTCAGTCTTAAATCTCCTTGTTTAGTCTATTGCAGATTGGCAACCGCGCTGAAACCTCGAGAAGTTACGGCACTTGGGACAAAAATGCATAATGCCACCCCTCCTCTAAAAATAAAAAAATATTATTAAAAGATAAATTGTTCACACAGGTACACGCCTACAAATTCTGAATAGTTCGCGCTAACAGAAAGACAGCATAACAATACAATTTATATATTAATATATCCTTTAATATGTATATATATTAAAAACTAAAGCACACAACGCACATACACACACACAATGAAACAAACTTAAAAGATTGAAAGATCCTTAAAAAATGGTTACAATTTTTAAAGAATTTAATGAGGTTTTTCAAAATCCTATATCGTAAATTTCAAACAAAGAATAAGAAGCCCATATTTTTTACTTTCTTTGAAACACCGTATTTACGTAAACTTAATAT